ATCAGGCGTGGCTGACCACATATGGAGAGAGAAGGAGATCACCCCCCCCTGGGATCATGTTGAGATCATAGACAGGGAACACCATTGGAAAATTCGTAAAACTTAAGGAATCAGCACATATGCTAGGCCACAAAAATCTCCTGAGCCGACCAAGCATAGAAATAAATACAATATGGGAACCAGTAATAAGGAGTGCCAGAGAAAAGCAATGATAACAAAGTTGCAATATGAACTCTGGTAAAGACATGCAATGATAACAGCAAAAAATTGCAATATGAGCACTGGTAAAAATGATGCTGAAAACATTAGGTTTATAATACTCAGAAGTTCATACCCAGATGGCACAGTGGATAAAGGCGTTGGTTAGATCCAGTGACAGACCCAAAGAAGGTGAGTTCAATTCCTGGTTAAGGCAGTGGAGAACTTTCAGAGGGAAAAATTAGCAGGAGATAACTGATAACTGACATCCATCAAACATGGCACGTGGAATTAGAACAGTCTACCCCAGCGATCGAAATAAAGGGTTCAGTTCGAAATTCCAACCACCTGAAGAAGGCCGGAGCGTACAACGGCCGAAACGTTGTGACAAATATGGCGACAAAGATGAGGACAATAGTCCGACTAATGTAAATACTGTACATAATACCTCATCTCAGAAATATAGACATATATATATATATATATATATATATATATACATTTGTCTTGATATATATTTCAGAGGTCATTAGATGGCTATTTTATTAAGCGGAATTGTTTCGCCGAGTACTTCTGTCAAATGGATATGTATAGATATTAGCCAAATGTTGTTCTTATATTATATCATTATTTGTAATCATAATGTAATAATTAATAACCATTAAAATAGAATGTGTGGATTATCAAGTGACAAGTATGTCTAGCGGATGTGTTTAAATATTTGCCTAACGTAGGGGCCCTCAATTCCAAACCATAACTTGGAATAAATATTAGCATATAACTTTTTTGTTCTTTTTATTTGGTTGTGGGGGCGGCGGATTAGTTGTATTGCAATAGATGCGATATTAATTTTTTTTTTTCGTCAACAATCTGTTATTTGTTTTATGGATAAAGAAAAGTTTTGAGGCAGAATTTATGATAGATTTTTTAAAATATTAATAAATCACTCGACAAAAATGGAAAGAAATACTTTTCTCACCTCATCTTGCATTTAACTCCCCTCGGATTTTATCTGAGTCAAAGTTTCAGAAATTTAAGAGCATGGATCCTTTGGGGCAGGTTGATTTTGGAACTTAATTTCAAAGTTTGGGTTTGATATTCTAAATAAAAATATAAAAGATATTTCTTCCAAGTTCGTTACCGTTTTTTGAGGAACCAGATTTAAAGACTAAGTTTCAAAATCATGGCATTGGAATTTCATTGCCATGATCAGGGAAAACCTTATATTACAGCATTATAAGCTGTATATGGACAAGATGCAAGGCACCCACACATTATTACTAAATCAATGTGCCTTCAAATAAGACCTTCATTTACGTCAAATTGAAATTATACTGAACAGTTTATCTATATTAAGATGTAATATGTTATAAAGTATAGTAGTTTGTGATAAATAATACAAATTTACAACATTTTGTCTTATAATTTGGACCATAAAGTCTTTTTGTGCTATATACACTTTTATGTATATTTTTTGTTTTTATTAATTGTGACCGAAAACATGGCGTAAGATCTTATGCATTGATTAGCCTTTTTTTATAATAGTTAACAATTTTTTACAGAGTTTAGTTTTAAAAAATTGTATAATGATGCATAATTAGAAATCTGGTTTGAATATATTTTCCATTTAACGTCACTAATACAAAAAATATCAATTTTATTTGGATTTATTCTTGAAATAGTAAATTTATTGTAGCCAGTTTGTAAGCAAAAACTGCGGAAATTAACGTAATTCCTCGAAAATAATACGCATTTTTAATGTAAATTACAGGTGAGGGTAGGAGTGCGTATTCTGAATAAGTTTAAACAAAAATATGTTTTCGTTATTCATTTATAATAATAAATACGTACTTGTTGTTCTAAAATAAGAAAGATATTATCCCAATTTTCAATTTAATAATACAATAATAATTGTAACATTTTTTTGTCAATAAATTTATGTTTATCAGTAACCACATTTTTTATTTGGCGAAAAAAAGAATTAAAAAACATCTATAAATAGGCCAGTTTTGAATAAAAGAGTTCACGATTTATTGAAATTTTAATCATCATCATCATCATCATCATCATCATCATCGGTTTCTATTATAGACTCAGTATCTAAATTGTCATTAAACAAATTAACATTCACATTATCTTCGTCCTGTTCAAAATTATCTTCAGCCTCTTCATTCACTTGCCAAAGGATGTCATCTTCAGAGCCATCCATGGCTGTCGTGAGACAACATTTCTTGAAACCTCTCTTTATGACATCCTCACTGACTGAATCCCAAGATTCCTGGATCCATTCTACAATAAATTACAACTCCGGGTTTTTTTCCTGAAAATTCAAAAGCTTATTTTCGTAGTAATCAAGCAAACACTGGGCTTTGGATGTTCTTCTAATAAATATATAAACCTCTTCATAAAAAGGAAACACCAGTTTGCTGAAGCTTTAAATGTGTTTCCAGGATACATGGTTTTCATAAGTACTTTTGCCTTCATCCTTATTTCCACAGTACTTATGGAATATCCACTTGAGCGTCTTTCTTTCACAAATTCAACTAACTTTGTTCCACATCTTGATATTTCACTTTTCTTCTTATACCTATAGCTTTGGCACCTGATTTACATTTTTACTTTATTTTTATTCGTTCTCCATAAACGTATGCTAGCTTCATTCAAGTCATATTCAAGTCTGCAGCTCTGTTTCCTATTCTTTCTGCTAATTCTGTTATTTTTTGTTTAAAATTTCCACTATAACTCGCACGTTTTGACGGCATTTTGGCATTAAAATAAAATGTTATATTTATCGGGAAAACCGCAAGGTAATTTTCAACATTATTTTAGCCGCTTAGTTTCGATTTTATTCATAACTAGCTGTAGAGCCCGGCGTTGCCTGGGGATGTAACAGTAAGAGATAGATCAAGTATCAAATGATCATAAAGACTGAAAAATAAAATTGACAAAGATTATTGTTTAAGGTTGACGGACACGCATGTCTTAATTATTTTTTTTTTTTTTACGAATTGGTCAAACCCAAACTCAAACAAAAACCTTGTTTTCAATCGTTATGGATCTAACGATTGAATAGTTTTCAATAAATAATTGTCTTGTAAATGGAATTTTAAAGCATTCTGAATGTAAAAAAATAAAGAAAAAATTGTGCAAGACCATAAAACACTACCTGCCAAAAAAAAGTGAAGTTTTGTTGAAATCGGTTTGAAAAATGTTTCTCAATCCGATCCTATATATAAACGAACACACACACACACACACACACAC